TATATACAATGTATCAAGAATATAAAGAGGGTTTCTGTTTCTGTTGTGTTTTATAACTGGTGAGATGAAAAATTGATCGATATTTAACTTTTTTGTTGCTATAAGCTTCAAGTAAAAGGTATTTTAGTATACACAATGATGGGAAAGTTTCTTTAAAATGCAAGTAAAGATCATAACTGGATAGCATCATCATCAGATAGCATCTTCACCATCATCATTGGATGATTCTATAAAACCCAAAATAAATTATGTATATATATTTTTCGTGTAGGATCATGTTCAAGTTAAAATCCAACGATTATGGACTGAATGATTGTCAATTAAAAATAATTTTAGGATGTTTAAGAGTTAGATCATTGCCCTTGTGCCTTTTTTGGGGCCCGGCAAGAGAAGAAACAGTCAGATATCCATTCGTTGCTACGCCGTATCATCCTGAAGAATGGCGTATTCACGATTACACCGCGACGTGTGCGATTCACTGACGACTTGCGCCAAACGTGTTTGTTAGTGCCTACGGTGTTTACGTCGCGTTGCCAAACCAGTTCCCTTGGTAGTAAAAAGCTCCTCTCGATTATCTCCGGCCATTGTTGTGCGATGCGTGAAATTCCGGTTCTTGGTCGCACTCGTTTTCAAGTTCGTTTTACCATAGGTTGCTAGACAGTGGGCAACCTTTGTTGGAGGAAATGGCTATTCTTGGAATGATATTGCTTTTTCTTGAGATCCTGCCACACTTAAGTCTGACATGGAGATGGAAACAACAGATGATGTAGTCAGAGCCAGAATTGCATCAAAAATGAAATTGAATCTCTCCAGGAAACAAATATAAACATAAAAGACACGGGAAGATTACATTAGAATATAGAGAGAAGAGAGAAAAGGTCGAGAGAATGGCATACAAACATACCGGGCACACGACGGAGCCCGAGTGAAAGAGAATCGAAAGTCGGTGAAGGTTTTTTTTTAATTGGATGGCTAAGAGAGGGGGTGGGGAGGAGGGAAGGAGGGCCGGTTACGTGGATAGGAGGAAGGTTTACTGCCGATGACTGAGTTACGCACCCGACCGTGAGTCAGCGCGTCCGAACAATAACCGTTACTTTTACTATCGTTGGAAACCATTCTACCGGCGTCATCTGTACACAAGCGGGGGTGAATGGAGACGCGCTTTTTGTATAGATATGCAACATGCCGGCGTTTACTCGACGCTGTTGTAAGAAAGGGCAAGCGCCGTCTTGGTAGCTGGTTTTGTGGTCCATAGTATATTCCCTAGTCTTGGGTTAGAGTAAGTTGGTTGAATGGATATGTAAATCAGGCTAGGTTGCGTTGACTGGGCAGGTTAGGTTAGATTAAGTTAGGCTGGTTGGCCAAATTAATTAGGCAATTTAGGTTAGTTGAGATTAGGTAGGCTAGGTTAGAGGCAGGTTAGGTTAGTTGAGATTAGGTAGGCTAGGCTAGGCTAGAGAAACCTAGGTCATTACCAGCGTCTTTTGCCCGTGATTCAGCTCGGCAAGGTGACCGATTCGCGTGATTGTTGCTAAGGTTACGGAATGTAGGCGGGGAAGGTCAGCGCTCCGAACCTGCAATCACGAGTCATTTATATATTTGGTAACTCGGGGTGAAGAATGCCAAACCACCTTCGCGAGCGTGTGCGCGGAATGACAGGCGGCGACCTCCTCGATAACGACCATTTCTGCGAAAGTTACTGCTGACTTGAGGACGGCCAATGTCGCTTGGAAACCACGCAACTTCAAGGCAGATATTTTAGCTGTGTCGTCGATGTGTCTCCGGATTATCTCTTGTCGAGTTGGGTGAAACAATGGAAAAATAATACAGTGGAACCATTTTTCGATGGTTGCTATTTCTGATATATTTTTATTTTTACCTATTATATAGAAATACGCGATTTGAACATGTCTTTAGTGTTATAGATAAAAGTACGGTACATTTCTCAGTTATTATGACTTTAGTGAGCAACAGGGATGTGGTAATTTTGTAATATCAATTTACCGTTTGTCTTTTTTTCAGGTAAGTGTGGAGTTGCTTTGTCACCCCGTGTTTGAGCGCCTTGGACACGTAAGTAACCTCTGGTGATGAGAATACTTAGATATTCAGTTATATTTAGAGAATGCTCTCTCTATATGTATATTTCACGTTCATTCAGTATTAATGCGTCTGTCTGTCTGTTCTTTCTTCTCTCTCTTTCCCTTCCTATCTCCCTCCTTCTCTCCGCTCGACTCTCTCTCTCCCTCACGCCTCTTTCCAGCTCTTGTGACTCGTGTGAGGGTCTCTCTCATCTCCCATTTGCCTTTTTTCCAAATTTACTCTTTAATTCTCCCTTTCTTTTGTCCAAACGCTTTATTCGCATTCCGGTACATTTCTTCCCCACTTCGATCCCTTTCCCGTTTCCCATCTCTTTTCTCTTCATTTCCCTTTCTTTCCCTAGCCCAATCTCCTTCCCTTTCACTTTCCCCGTCCCCCCCCCCTCCCCCATTGTCTTTCTTATTCCCATTCTCTTTCCTTCTCCTTTCCCCTAATCCCTTCCCGTTTCTTTTCCCTTCCCCATACCTTACGTTTTCCTTCCCTCCCCATTCCCTTTTTCCCTTTCTTTTTCCCTTTCTTTTCCCTCCCCTTCCCTGTTTTCTCTCACATTCCTTTCCATTTCCCTTCCCTTTCCCTTTTCATTTTCATTTTTTTTTCCCCGTTCCTCTCCTTTCCCTTTCTTCTCTTTATCCTTTCCCTTTCCCATTCTTCCTTTCTTTCCCCTTTCTCTTTCATTTTCCCATTTTCCCTTTCCCCTTACCATTCCATTATCATTTTCCCTTGCTTTTTCCTTTTCCCTTTCTTTTTCCCACTCCTATTCCTATTCGTCCTCAACCTACATTTTCCATATCTCTCCCTTTCCATTCCCCCTCCATTCTTTCCCTTTTTCTTTCCCTTCCCTTTTCCTCCTCCCTTCCCTTCCCTTCCTTTCCCTTTCCCTTTCCTTCATTCTTTCCTTCCCCTCGCTTCCTTCCATCTTTTCCCTCTGTCTCTTCTCTCCATATTTTCTTAACTCCTGAAATATTTGGTTTTCTTATAATGATTGATAACTGTTGTAGCGATGATGACCATTTATGTCATATAATTGTCATATGTCTATCGCCTCTGCCATTACTATCATGGCCGTAAGCATTGAGGCTTCCGCAGAATCGAGGTTTACTGATAACGTCCTTTCATTTCCATTGCTGAGATCTTCCACGAGTCACGTGTTTGTCAAGCTTACGCAACTGTTTTTAAGGAAGAGAATGCGGAGGCGAAGGACCCGGTATCATGTGGTAAGCACGGAGGGGATGGCACGGTAACAGCCCAGGGTGTAATGAGGGGTCGAGCGGGTGCCTTACTCTGTTAATGGAAGAAGTGGTTGGTCGACTTGCGCTGGACGGTAGCGTAAAAAAGGACACGTCAGAGCGAAGAGAAAGCAAGAGCGAAGGGGAATTGGCAAATATGCAAGGATGCAGGTGGGTTGGAGAGGGGATCGTCGGAGGGCCGTTGGAAAGTGCTAACGTAACGGCGTGTGAGGTGTCGCGAAGGGTGACGCAACACGTGTTTACATGCGTTTCCAAGTTCGTAGTAAGGGAGGATTTGTCGTCCTAGCTTATAAGGTGTTTTGATGAGCTGAGAGGGATTATCTTGGGATTATTAAATTTCGTGATTCGGGCTGCTTTGTGATTTAGTCGTTGATAGTCTTCCTTTTTTTTTGGTGCGTGTGTATGTGTGGTGTGGGTGGGTGTTTTGTGCGGCGCGCGCGCGTGCTGTGTGTGTGTGTGTGTGTGTGTGTGTGTGTGTGTGTGTGTGTGTGTGTGTGTGTGTGTGTGTGTAATTCGGAATGCTGGCGGTTTCTAAGAATTGTCGTTTGGAATGCAACCACTGACTGCCCGCCGCTTGAAAGCCCGCCGGAAAGCAGTCTGGTCCGCACAGTCCCGTTCCTCACCTGCGGCCTCTCCTCTCATGATGTTCTCCTACCGTTTATTCCTGTTTGCTAGAGTTCTTCGTCATTTCTAAGTCAGCTTTATTGTCATGTTTCTCATCTTTTTCTTTTTTTCTTTCTTGCGTGTTTACTAAAATTCCTCCGTAAGACGTAGCATAGTGTTAAGAGGGGCTGCTTTGTGGAGATATCTTGTCTTCGTGTGAGATGTTCTCATTAATGGCGGGGAGAGAGAGAATAAAAAATGTTATGAGAAACCAGAGGTACTCGATTTTTTTTACGCTTTCCTCCATCTCCTCTTCCTCTACCTTCCTACCACTACTCTTCCTTCCTTCTCGTCCTCCTCTTCTTCCTCCACGCTTCTTCCTTTCGTCACTTCTCGACTGTACTTTGTGTGTGTGTGTGTGTGTGTGTGTGTGTGTGTGTGTATGTATATATATATATATATATATATATATATATATATATATATATATATATATATATATATATATGTGTGTGTGTGTGTGTGTGTGTGTCTGCGTTCGCGCGTGCGTGTTCGCGTGTGCATATATGTACGATTATCACTTTTATTTAAGTTAATTGAGGTTTATCTGACCGCAGTCTCTGAACCGCCGTCAGCTGCTCCTTTAAAAAGGCCTCAATTTATGGACATTCTTAGCTTCTTATCCTTGCCCCTTGTCAGCCGAATCTCCCAAGTCTAGAAAAGGATGCTCGGCCTTTCGTGCAGTCTGCCCTCTCAACCAGCGCACCCGTTCCAGGTCACCCTTTAGCCGGTTCTTCCATCCTAATTTCCGGCCCCTTCGCGAAATAGGGAAAATCCCCCCCCTTTCCCCTGAGGAACTGGGTGTGCACACGGATCTTGAGAAATCTTAAACTTCGCCCCTGGGTAATTCCTGTAGGTTATCGTAACAGAAAGTTGGTTTCTTTCTCTGTGCGTATCCGTTCTTGGAAAATATGTCACGTTATTATAGATGTTTCTTTTTATTCTATTATTTCAATAGATTGGTATTACCCCTCTTCCCATATAGAAATATACCTACCTTACCCCCCCTACCCCCTCCTCCGAACTCTTAAAATTTACACTCTCCCACGAATGCTGAAATCTCCCCCTCCCCCCTCCCCTTCCTTCAGACCCTGAAATTCACCCCAGATTATAAAGTGGCGAAGTAGGACCAAGTGCCGTCGGACTACTTCCCTGCCGCGCTAGACACTAACCTGCGCCGGGGAGAGGAAAATGACACCTGGGGTCGCTGGAGGAGGGAGTTGCGTCTGCGTCCAGCGCCGTCCCCGTTGGCCTGCGTCAGGAGGGTGGGCGGAAGGCGGTCGTCCTCTGTCATGCTTATCTGCGTTGGGTATTCTATGCTTTAGAGGACATATTGGCATGATGTCAGGTTGAATAGAAGAAGGTGAGAGGTGATGGTTTATATGCGATGAAGTTGTTATTATCATTATCTTATTTTTATTTATTTATATTTATTAGGAAAGAAGGGTTAGTAAACAAGAGAGCAAGTTGATTTGCATCTTCAATATCCCAAGTATAAGGTTGTAGTTTTTTTTCTTCTAATTATATTTTCTAGTCAAAGCGATAACATACAAAGGCCATAAGCTGGTTCCCGAGGTAGTGAGGCTGTTTGTGACAGGTAGACGTGGGCTGGGACCTAATACCTGTATCAGTGCAATGCTAACCATGTAGGGCAGTTCCATAGTCATGGTATGGATGTGACGCCAAAGAAGGTTATAATAACGTGCTGTATTGTTTTGCAAGATAATGCAAAAAACATTGAGAACTTGCAGAATCGTACCATAGATTTGTTTAATTTGCTGTGCATTGTTTTGCGGGAGTGTGTTATCGCGCAAGTTGTGCAACGTGTTTGGACATTTTATGACAACGCTGATTACTTCAACATGACGCCATGAAGCAGCTCTTTCTTTGTATGCGTGCGGTCTTATGGTGTTGCGGGGAGGGATGTTGTGAATCGTAAATGTGATGCAACTACAAAGAAGAAAACAATGGCACCGCATGGAGGACCGCATTACCTGGGAGGGAGCCGGGGAGGGAGCCTGACATCGCCGGGGCCATGAAGGTGCCGCATATGGTAGCCTGTGGTCGGCCGAAGCATGATGCCGTATGCGTACGCGGCCTGCGCTGGTCTTGACATGTCTTGAATTAGGATGAAAAATTGGAATACATGAGAGCAGTGGAAGGTATGATGGGACGTGGAGGCATTCGGTAGACTATGCATGTTATTTTTATATTTTTATGAACAAGGTTATGGGAAAAAAATATGAACTTATTACAACGTTAACCCCATTTGTATCATTCATAATCTGAAAAAAAAAAAAAAAAAAACATTTGGCTTGGGAGGTGGCAGTAGCGTGATTCACAACTGTCGTCTCACCTTCCTTAATAAGCCTGTGAGTGTACATTGTATGTGTGTGTGAAGAGGGTAATTCATCTCACCAGCATGACATTGTTTTTTTAAGAATCAGACGTCCATTGTTTTGGTTGCTGGCTGAAGAGTGTGAGATTGCAGATTCTTTCTTAATCAACACGCAGTTTAAACGGATTTTTTTGTTTGTTTTTAGTTGTGATGACTATTCGAAGTTACCCTGTATATTTGTGCGTTAGCTATGAAATATATCGTAGTTGAAACAAGGAATGACAGGGAAACGCGTCATCTGCAACTGACTCGGAAATAGCGTGGACACCCGGCTACCAAGAGAACTAATGACAGGGCCATATATGTCAACACAGAACGACAGGACCACCGTGGAGCGAGGCAGAGGACACCGGTAATTATTATCGTACGTTGTAGCGTCAGAAAAGTTGTTGGTCATGATATGATAAGCCTGAATTCAAATATCCTCTCACATGGTTATTATAATATTTTCCACGATGCTTTTTTTATTTCGTAACTATTTTCTGAAACCGTTTTGATCATAATAGGAGATTTTCTATATGCAAAAGCGGCACATACGATAAACACTCTACGTGTACTAATTTTCCAACGTGAACAAAAGCACAACTCAGTCTGGGGAATGCCACTGCTCGTTGCTGTAATTATACCACGGCCGAGCAAAGTATTGTTAGTGACACCGATTTCAACACCAGAACGATACCAGCAGAGAAGGCACGAGGCGATTACCTCCTTGTGGGCCACCCGCACGTTGCACCGCGAGTGCGAGAGAGGGCACCGCTCGAAGGGAAAGGAAGCTCCCGGCGCGAGGGGCGCCGCCGCCGGCACGCAGCTCGCTTCGGCTCGGGAGTTGCGGGGGGGGGGGGTCGTGGGACAGCGTCGAAAGTTGGCACGCCTTGGGAAGAATCTGATTACGTTGAGAACTGCTGGGGAGGGGAAGGGGAAGACGTCGTGGCGAGGGAGTTGTGGGGAGGCGCAGGAGGAGGCGAGGGGGCCGGCGGGGAGGAACTCGTCCGTACAGGTTGCTTCTGCCACTGCTTGGGTATTGTGTTGGGGAGGGGGCGGGTGTGCCCACCTGGTCCTGCCTGCTGAGTGTCTCCGGACTGACTTGTCATGCAT